CGAGCCGAATAATAGTGGTTTCGTATTTTCTCTCTGTGCATATGTTAAAGACAGTATTCGGATTGGTTCCGAATTAATCAATATTGCTGATTTGCAGAATAAATATCCACAATTAGCACCTATTAAGCCCATTCAATATACTTATGAGGACGTTGAAATTATTATCGGACAAGACTACTACCACGCCGTTAGACCCATTGAGTTCATCTTGGGAGATGATAAAAACTCACCGTGTTCCGTTCGCCTACCGATAGGTTGGGTCTTAAGTGGTCCGTTGCCGCCGTCCGGTAATTCTACTTCTTCGTGTTTCAAGTGTGTTGTTGAAGATTCTTCTCTGACCGACCAGATAAAATCCTGGTACGAGTTGGAATCGTATGGTGCTTTCAAACAAGTCGATGCCCGTTCCGCCGCGGATAAACATGCTTTATCCATCCTCAATTCTGAAACCGTTCACAATGGCGAAAGATACATTGTGCCTATGCTTTGGATTGATAGTAATGTCAGTCTACCAAACAATTATTACTCGTCACTCGCCCAATTTAAATCATTGGAGAGAAGGTTAAGTAAAGACCCTGAGCTGCGCGAAAGATACGCAGAAACAATTAGAGAGGACATTAGGAAAGGCTATGTCGTTACCGTCGAACCGCATGATCCACGTAAGCGTTCCGATCGCGAGTGGTATCTTCCGCACCATCCCGTCGTAAATCCGAATAAGCCGGGTAAGGTGCGCCGAGTCCTTAATGGGGCTTCTAAGTTTCACGGCACATCCTTAAATAAGTCCTTATTGGTGGGTCCTGACCTACTCCAAAATTTAATTTTTGTGCTTTTGCGATTCCGTCAACATAAGTACGCCGTCTCCGCGGATATAGAGGGTATGTTCCTCCAGGTAGGAGTCCTTGCCCGCGATCAAATTTCGCTCCGTTTTTTGTGGCGGGAGGATACCACTTCCGATGTGGTAGTTCATCAGTACACTCGCCATATATTCGGCGCACGGGATTCACCTACGTGCGCCAATTTCGCGTTGCAAAAAACAGCAACTGATAATATGTCCACATACCCTGAGGCCGCCTCAGTCGTAAATGAAAAGTTTTACATGGACGATTACTTGGATTCATTCGAGAACGTTACCCAAGCAATTAAAACTAGTCGCGATTTGGTTTCCTTACTAAAATTGGGAGGATTTAATTTGACTAAATTTGTCAGTAATGCTGATGAAATCACTTCAGCAATGAACCCCGAGGAATCCGAAACCTCATCTTCATCCATCAAGGAAATATGTAACGGTGCCGAACGATCATCACACGTCTTAGGTCTTAAGTGGGACCATGTGAAAGACACATTGGTTGTTAGCAGAGGCGTGGATCGTCCTCTCGATAAAGCAATAACTCAACGAACCGTCTTGAGTTTCGTCTCTTCTGTGTTTGACCCTGTTGGGTTAGTAGCTCCATACACAGTTAGGGCCCGTCTTTTACTGAAAGATATTTGGAAAATCAGTGGTCAAAGTTGGGACGACGAATTGCCAGAAGACATAAGAGATAAGTTTCTCGAGTGGCACTCCGGTCTCCCTCTCTTAGGGCAATTGACTATTCCCCGTTGTTACTTCACAGAGCCTGTTGATCAAATTGAGCTCCACATGTTCGGTGATAGCTCGCAGGACGTTTTCTGTGCTGTTGGTTTTTTGCGTGCGCGACTCGCGAGCTCGCATAAAACTCAAATATCCTTCATCTTTGGTAAAGCTCGCGTTGCGCCCATGAAAGCGCTATCGATACCGAAGCTAGAGCTTCAAGCTGCTCTGCTCGCCACACGACTAAAAGATGATATACTGACCGCCCTTACCGTCTCTATTAATCATGTCTTTATGTGGACAGATAGTACAACAGTTTTGCAGTGGCTAAACTCCACTGAAAAATTACCTGTATTCGTCGCTAATCGTGTCGGCGAAATCCTCGAGTCGACCACTATTGATGAGTGGCACCATGTTCTGAGCGGCGATAATCCAGCTGATACCGGTACGCGGGGGATTTCTTCGGAAGCCCTCAAGGATAGCAGCTGGGTGATTGGTCCGAGCATTCTCAGGACTACTGATTGGCCGTTTTTACCCGACGAACGTGTAATCAATAAAATTCGTTTGAAGGGTCCTTCTTGTGATGTTGATAATTGCTTGGAGACATCATCTTCCTTCGTCACCGATGTCACATCAATAAAACATCCCGAACACGGGTTCAATTGGGAAAGGTTCAGTTCCTTTACAAGATATAAACGAGTAGTCGCTTTTATGTTGAGGGTGTTGCCTTCACATAAGCATTTTCGTGGTAAAGACTTACGAATCACCGACCCCACTGAACTTGATATTGCAGAAAGCAAACTGATTCATCTTGCTCAGATAGAATCCTTTCCCGTTGAGTTAAAAACACTCACCGCTGGCAAACCTATTAAGAATAGTAGTAAAATTGCCACATACTCGCCATTTATTGGTCCCGCTGGAATCATTCGTTCCACCGGACGGATTGTGCGCTTAGTGGATACCGAGTTTGATACTAAGCACCCAATAATACTCGATGCCCGACATACCTTAGTTCGTTTGTTGGCCCGCAGCCTCCACCATAAGCATTTTCATCAAGGATTAGATTACATGCGCTCCGTTTTAAATATGAAATTTGCAATACTTGGGTTGCGTCGACTACTTCGGTCTGTCGAAAATCAATGTGTGACATGCCGTAAACGCAAAGCAAGTACCATCCAGCCAATTATGTCCGATTTACCGGTCGAACGTCTCGGATACAAGCAACCACCCTTCAATCATACGGGTGTGGATTACTTTGGACCGCTTTACGTTCCGGTTCGCAGAAGCACGGAAAAAAGATGGGGATTCCTTTTTACTTGCCTCACCACCAGGGCTGTACACCTTGAGATTGTACCGTCTCTGGACACCAGTTCGTGTGTCATGGGCATTGAACGGTTCGTTGCGCGCCGTGGTACGCCAAGCACAATCTGGTCGGATAATGGCACGAACTTCGTTGGTGCGGAAAAGGAATTACTTGCCTGCATCAAGAGCTGGAATGGCATGGCTCCGACCATTTTTGCACACAAAGGTGTTACTTGGAAATTTAACCCGCCAGGCGCACCCCATCATGGCGGCTCATGGGAACGCCTCGTCCGAAGCGTGAAGCGCGTGCTGTACGATATCCTAGGCAGTAGGCGAGTCACTGAAGAGGTGTTAGGAACAACACTCTGCTTAGTTGAACAGGCTTTGAATTCGAGGCCAATCACTCCCGTTAGTACCGATTCACGTGAGTTAGAAGCGTTAACCCCAAACCATTTTTTGCTTGGACAACATGCCACAAGCTTTCCTTCGCTTTTACCCGGGGAGCACTTCGATCACAAGAAAAGGTACGTGCGAGCGCAGTCATATGCTAACGCGATTTGGTCTCGTTGGCTTCGAGAATATGTTCCCTCGCTGAATAAGCGTGTCAAGTGGCACACTCATTCTGACTTCACTCTTAAAACAGGCGATCTCGTGTGGGTGATTGAGCCCGATAGTCCGCGTGGGTACTACCCTCTCGCGTGAATCGTCAAGCTAAACTACGGACAGGACGGTTGCGCCCGATCCGCCCTTGTCAGGACCGCAACCCGTGAAGTCACGCGGCCGACCGTTAAGCTCGCTCCGGTTCTTCCTTCTTCAGGGGGGGAGGATGTTGCAATGCAAATGTAGAGTATAGAATGTAGAGTATAGATGCATATAAAACTGAACCAAAATGTAACAACAATAAGCACAGTTGGCCGAGTGGCCTAAGCTAACGCCGATTATACAGGTTAACAGTTGACGTAGGTTCGAGTCCCCCACCTGCCCATGTATTAGTATACTAAAAACGGGGGTTACATCCTATTTTAACTGTTTTTTGGTTCTAATTCGGTTCAGCCTTGATTAAGGTTGACCGCCAAAAAGAGCAATTTGTCTCAAGGACATTACCGACCGGTTCTTGTGGCTAGCTTGCGCCGTTTTGTACAAAAAACGGACAGATGCTAAAAATGTTGTATGATGTCCTGATCAATAGAAAAATACCGAAATTTATCTATTGCTTGAGTTATTTACCGATAAATATCTCATTAATTTACGAATTTGGATGCAATTATTTTCGTTTGGAGATTAGCGAGCATAATTATAGTGATGGAAATTGCGAATAGCAATTTCCTACTGTTTTTTCTTGCGACTTTCCCGCGTGTGTGTCTTAATCGTTCTGAAATTGTTCTGATTTCTTTTTCTGATTTTCAGTTCTCGCGAGAAAATCGTGCATGACAGGTTCCATTCGAAACTTTGAAAAATTAAATTTCACTCCAAAATCAAGTGTTTTTTGCTTCTCTCAAGGTCAAACTTCCAAATATGACCGACTGGCACACCTGTTCAAGAATAATTTCGCAAAACATAGACTGGGAATTTTAAAATAAATTGAATAGACCAAGATCAGTTAATCTGCGCTATCTTCCATGATTTTATTGTATCCTGGTTTCAAGGGTTTACCAATTTTTTCCAGGTTTGAAAATGCCACCTTCTACCAAAGGGCCTTAAATTTTTTAAAACGCGTGAAATTGTAAGAAACAGCTGAGTTAAGTAAACTTTTCATACAATTCAAATTTAAAGCTTGAAGTAGTTCACTTATGATGAACAACTTTTTTCCGCCGCTTATTCGTGAAAAATTCTCTTCGATTCAAAACTTAGTGCAGATGGTGAAAACTGGCTTCCTCAGACCCGGATAAAAACTGGTAAGTCCTTGAAACCAAACTTGAATGCTTTCATGTAGGGTATCTCTGATCATTTACTCGTATACTTTGTAAAAAAAATTTTATTCAATTTCCGAGTGAATGTTGTTCAAAATCATCCTTAAAAACAGGCTTTGTATAGACAAAATTCCTGATTTTGCACTTTATTCTGTCCACTAGTGAAGCAGTAGCAATTGAAAATGTAACGATAGTTTGGTAAAGTTAAGATAAAAAATAAAATATTGTCTATGAAACTTGTTTCTTTTTCAGAAATGCTATTTTTCTTTGCAATCTTTCTCTCAATTGTGCCAGCTTTTGGCCGAGAGCATCACTTTTCAATGGCTGGAGATATGCGGCCCGAATTCGATCTAACAACCTTTGGTTTTACTAGTCCTGGTTTCCTTTTTGTGAATATATCAAATCTAAAATTCTCGACAAGTTTAAACGAAACAGGTGTTATCGGATTCACTCTCGATAGAACTGATAGCGCAGGTATCGCTCCATACATAGAGAACAGACAAGACGATCAATGTATCCTCCAGGAAAGTTCGGGCAAGACGTCTGCTTTTAAATCAGATGTCGTTGCAATGGTTCTAAACTTTACCGAATTGTCATTACACTTAACAAGACACGGAGAAAAAATAGCGGAGCTCTCTTTTTATGAGTCTCTTGAAGATTTGTTTAACAATCATTCAATGGAGTTCAGACCAAAATCAACTGCTCCAATGGTTCCGCCTAAATTCGTAATTCGAGACGATATCCTCAGTGCGGAAAACACAACGAATTCTTCAATTGGGCAGATTAGAAAGTTCGATTATAATCCAAAAAAGTTGGATAGAGTTCCAGTCTCGAAGACAAAAAGTTCCGACGGTGAAATAACTTATAGTTTTAAATTTGTCATGTACGTTGCGAATAAAACGCAATCAGGGCTTTATAATCTCTTTTTCCACAACTGTGAAAACATAAAATCACCTAGCATCGGAGTCAGTTTTGATGTGATCATAATCGAAAAAAACGGGGGCAATTTTTTGACAGCATTTGAAATATATCTTCCTACTATTTATCTGGCTTTTTCAACAATATATTTCTGCTGCTGCATTGTTTGGATGATGGTTCTCCGTAAAGGCGAAAACGGATCAGTACAGAAGATCCACTACTTGATGTTGCTTCTTGTAGCCGTCAAATCTCTTTCGCTCTTTGTTCACTCCGTGGACTACCACTTCATCAACATTACGGGCCAGTCGCACAACACTTGGGCTGTGTTGTACTACATTACCTACGTCATACGAGGGCTGCTTTTCTTCACCGTTCTTGTTCTCATCGGTAAGTTAGTTGATAATGAACCGGTAATAGTTAATACTTTAATGTAGAGCCGAAAAAACTGATTCTTTACCTATGGAGACACTTTGAAACAAACTACAACGAATGAATCTCGAGTACTTGGAGAATTTCAACAGCAAAACTAATCTTGTTTAAGGGAGTAATCCCGGGCCCACTGGGCCGAATCCATAATGCTTTCATACAATAACAATTACATGCTCCAAAACTCCTTTTTTCAATTTTTCAAAAATTCGCCTGTGGTGCGAAACCCAATAAAGGCGATGATTACTTTTGCAGGAAGTGGTTGGCAGTTGATGAAGCACGTGTTTTCTACCAATGAGAAACGGCTGTTCGTCTTAGTTATCTCATTGCAAGTTGTGACCAACATCGCCTATGTGCTGAAGGAAAACACAGAAGAAGGAGCCCAGAAGCACGAGTTGTGGCAGCAGATTTTCATCCTAGTCGACCTTGTGTGCTGTGGCGCTGTGCTGTTTCCCATAGTATGGTCTATAAGACACCTACAGGAAGCAACCAAAGTTGATGGAAAGGTACTCGTTATAACTGTTACCCCTTAGTGAAATTTGAGCCTCCTAAAATGTAAATATCGTTGTTTATGGTCTTTATTAAGAGTAATGAACGTAGTGAAGACTCTTATATAGGTCCTGTTGATTTTTTTTCCGGAAAAAGGCTTAAAATGCTCTAATAACTACAGATGTGCATTCATACATATTCGAGCATTTATGAATGCACCTAGGAATATATGCACTTTTTGAGTTCAATTCAAATTCATCTGCTGAAAGTGACGTGCGCAAAAAAATCTGAACGATTTCAAGTTTTGAAAATAGAATTTGATGTTTAGAATTCGGAGCGGAATAAAAGTTTTACCTATTAATCCCGATTTCTCAAAATGAGTTAATTTTATCAAAAAAGTGTCAATAGTAAATTCATATACTCAAAGAGGGGTTAAGACCATATATTCTTACTTTGAAATTCAAAAGTTGAAGTTTTTTCAAAAAATAATTCAGTTTTTCATGTTTTCTTGCCTACATTATTCTTTTCCAAATGTTGGTTTACTATTTTTTGCTCTTCCTTGGTTAAGGAAAAGTGCCCATGAGTTAAAAATTACTGAAAATCAAAACCAATGACTGATGCTTTTCACAGGGAACAGCAAATCTGGTGAAGTTACGCCTGTTTCGCCGATTCTACATCACCATTGTGTGCTACATCTACTTCACGCGAATAGTAGTATACCTGCTGAGAATCCTGGTCAACTTCCAGTACCGATGGCTGGACGCAGTTTCCACTGAAGCAGCAACTCTGGCTTTCTTCATTTTCACCGCCTACACCTTCCACCCTGACCTGCAAAATCCCTATATAAGGTAAATTGAGGAAAACTGCGAAATGGTCAATAGTCCAGTTGCATATTCTCTAGTATCTCCGGATTGTTAATTTTAGCTAATAAAAGTAATTAACGTAGTGAAGACTCTCATATAGGTCTTGCTGATTTTTTTTTTTTCAGGAAAAGTCTTAAAAGTCTCTAGTAACTATAGATATGCATTCATACATATTGATGCATTTATGAATGCACATAGGTATATATACATTTTTTGAGTTCAATTGAAATTCTTCTGCTGAAAGTGACGTAAATAGCACTCTCCAAATACGAACGTGGAAATGGCGCGAAGAATCTTGAACGATTTCTAGTTTCGAAAGTGGAATTTAATTTTTAGACTTCCAGCGGAATAAAAACTTTACCTATTGGTCCAGTTTTCTCTAGTTGGGCTCATGTTATCAAAAAAGCGCCTATCATAAATTGTTCTTGAAATATAAAGAGCTTGAAGAGCATCTATTTTTTTTCTTTGAAATTCGAAGTTCAAATTTTTTCAAGAAAGGCAGTGTTTTTTTTATGTTTACTTGCATTCATTACTCTTTTTCAATCTTTCATTGGCTATGTTTTTTTTCTGTGTTTACACTTGAGATAAGCTTAGTGTGTTATTATAAACCTTCTTTTTTTTCTAACTTAACTTGCAAATAAAGTGTGCCCTTATTTGGAAATTTCACTGTAGCAATCGGAATTGCATAGCAATTTTTCTCTGCTTTATTTGTGTCTAAGTGGTTAATGGTTCCAATTAAGCTTCCAATTAGTCTTATTTGGCATGTTAGTTTTATTCAAGACAAATTGATTTTCACATATTAAAATGTTGGTAGATCTAGCTTTTTGTCGACTTTTTGAAATGTTTTGTTTTTGACTAAATGGCTTTCGTCTCAATTTTTGTCTGCTATTTCGTCGTGTTATGTTTCTGTTGTATTGTAACTTTTCTGCTCTATGATTGTCGTCTAAAACTCTGTCGGTTTAATTCCGAATTCTGCATGCCACCTTACATTTACTACATATATAATTCACCTGTGTTACCCTAGCCAGCTTAGTGCGTCAGAAAGAACCTGATTTTTTTCTAAGCTTCGCCTCTGTGTTATTTTTTTGTTTTTCTAATTCCTTCTGTATTTTCATCGTTCGAAGTCATGTTTGCTACTCATTGAGGGTCATGTTTTAACCCTATACTTGTGGTATCGCAAGTGATGTGAAGCTCAGCTTCATCTCTGTTTTGATTTTGAGCGCTCTTTTGAATGCGAATAGCTTTGCTTCTTCGTCGATTTTTAAAATATTGATCGAAGAAAATTTTCTTTCTTTCAGGTTGTCTCAGCAGGAGGAAGATTCTGATTCTGAAGATCAGATTAAACTTCGAAATATGGGCAGTAATTCAGTGGAGCATGGAAACGAAGTGGCTGAGATCGTCTCGGAGGGAGATCGCGAGAGTCCGAGAGAACCCGGTTCGCCGAACCCCAACTGGAGTGCAAATATTCGAAGAAAGTTGAATAATCCGATGTCTCCTAAACAAAGCAACATGCAGAAAACCATTGTCTAGTTTTATAAAATGGTAATAACTTAAGGCTTAATATTATGAGATGTGAATAAACAAGGTTATTGCTTATTTTATCTCTCTTGTAGATTTATTTTGATAGCTGACAATACAATTGTGGAAATATAAATTGGGATCTGTAGTAGCACAATGGAATTTAATTGCATTTCTAATTCTTTTGAATCGAAGGACTAGCTTGTATTTAAATTACTGAAGTTAAATCAAGTGACAGGTCAGTCAGTCTTAAATATTCTGAAGCAGAGTTTCTAGAACAGAAATGTCTGAAATTGAAGTGAGCATAGTTGTCGATGATTCAGTTTTGCAGAGCATCGCGTTTTTGAACGAAAGAGAAATCATACAGCATCAAATTGTTGACTTTAATACCGCTCTTAAGATCGGGAAAATATCTTTCGCTGTAACTGAAGATAGGATAGTCAATGCAGGTTCCACGAAATTCCAACAAAAGTTGAAAAGACCGGCTGACAAAAAATTAACGCTTCAATCAGGTAAAAGAACAGGTCTGGCACTAAAATCAGTGTCTGTAATACCAACAGTTGCGAAAAAGGAATGCATGACAAGCGCTGCCACAAGTCATAATGCGTCTAAAATTGATGTTTCGTCAATGATGTCTTCGGTTGAAAACATGGCAACGGGTGAAAAAAGTTATAAATGTTCATTTTGCGGCTCAGAATCGGCGCACTTAACTTCCATAAGAAGGCACATTGAGACGAAACATTTGCCAAGTACTGTTTCGTTCGATTGTAGGCAGTGTGATTACAAAACCAAGTTGAAGTTCATGCTGAAGAAGCATTATACCAACAAACATCAGATGCCCGAAATGGCTGCACAAGGAATGATGGCCTACTACTGAGGGTCCAAAATACTTACAATAGCTTTGATTTTTCAGTTTCTAAATTTCTTTGGTTGCGCAAGGAAAAAAGAAAGAGTCATTATGGAAGTCTTATTTTGAGCAGTCAAAAAACTTAACATTGAGATTTGGATTTTCTGCTTCTAGTTTCGTTAGTGTTATTATGAAGCTTTGCTTGTTATTGTTTGGAACATTAGCGCGTTTCTCATAATTGTGGCTTCTCTGTGATTGCGGTTTTTGGTCCTTTTTTTTCGTTATTGTATCGGTGTGTTTAGTAGTTGTTAGAAATAACGAATTCATTTTTTGAGTAGGCAGGAAAAACCATAGTGGGTCATAGTTACTTCCCACCCCTTGTGCTTCAAAAATCTTAGTGTGTGCGAAGTATGTTAAGCAATGGTTTCATGGACAGAATATCAGCGGATTTGATTCCAGTCATATCCGCAACATCATTTTTTAACGCCCGGGATCAGCAAGGGTGTTTGCAACCGGGTACTAGACTTTCCCACTGTACATAACTTTGTTCACAGAATGACCAATTTAGTAGGAAATACTCAACATGCTCCGTTTCTGTGAAATGTAAATAAAACTGCCATCATTCAGGTTAGGTAGTAATTAGGCGGAGTTCGTTTTAGGCAATGCTGTCTTTTCAATTGAGTTTATTGAAAGTGTTAATTTTTTTTCCGGATTCGTTGTATTCATCCAAGGTTCCTTCGGTTCTTTTCATGTTTTTGTTCAAATCCCATTTATATTACCTGGTACAGTTTCTATTGGCTTCCTTTTGAAAGCATGGCGTTGATTTTGATTTAAGCAGTTCTTCTGTCATTGAAAGTTCTGTTATGTGTTAATTCACCAAGTATGATTTTCAATATTTTTTTTTGCTTTTTTCGATTAAATGGTTTTGACTAATGTTATATTGGCTTTGTCAAATTGTAATGCGCAATTTCAAGAGCAAGAATTGAAAACTCTTTTAGTCTATTATTGAAATTTCTGCAATTCGTAAATTTACCAAATCTAATTTTGAGTTTTTCTTTTGATTTAAGGGTTTGTTGTGTTATGTCAAATTAGTGAAGATATATTGTGTAGTTTTGAGAGCGAAATGTTTTTTGCCTTTATGTGTTTCAGTATGGATAGGATTTGAAGCTCAAAAAATTTTCTTGACAATGTTTTTGCTTTTGGCTCAATAGGAGTCGACCCAATTTAGTTGCTTTAGTTTCTGCTCGGTAAATGATTTCCAAAGCTTTTAGGGCTGTTTATGAATATTATTCAATAGAAGCATGAAAATCAGCGTTTTTTTCAATTTAATTGCAAACAATTTTTTGACATTGTCTCCTTCATTATTCATTATCTTGTAACTCAATGTTTTATGATGTATCGCAATTGTTGCGAATATGTTTTCAAAGCATTTAATTTCACAATTTCTAAAGTGTAGTAGAACGAATTGTATATATAGGTCTTATTAACTGATTGTTTATAAGGAAAAAGTCTCCAATTTGTTCACGCTCATCTTTGGTTTTCAGCTGTTTGACTTTTTTCAAGTTTTTTTCAATTCCTTTGTTAAATTTGGGCAAACAAAATTGAAAAGGTCTCAAAAAATGTGAGTGAGTTGACTTCTAGGTTTTTTTTATATGGTATAAATTTACGAAAAAAAATCCGATTTGAAAAGTCTTTGAAATTCAAATAGCTTCGCCGTTATTTATTTTTTCTTCGAACTTCAAAAAATTTCCATCAATTATTTTTTGGTTCATTGTTCATTTGCACTTTCTTAACTGTCAGTTGGGTATGTTTTTAATTGATTGTCGTTAGTCTTTTTCTGAACGCGAAAGTTATGTTCGGGCGGTAAATTCAGTAGTTGTTTGTTTTAAGCTGAAATACGTTTTCTTGCTCAGTACAGACTAAGTCAATGGTCGATCAATTGAGAATTTTTTGAACTTTTTTCTCAAAGCGCGAGTTTTTTATTATCCATCTGAAGCAGCTTTGATATAAATATATCAACCAATTCGGCACAGTTGTTTGGAGTGCCTGATTTCTCCCATCACAAGTTCACATAGCATGTAAAGTGTAATCTGGGTTTTTATGAGGTTTTCCATGAAGCCTGCATGTCTTTGTAATGACTTAAGAACTGCGTAAAATTTTGACATTGCGCTTGTGATTAAAAGAGCGCCTTATTCAATTTGGAGGGGAAACTCCAATTTGCGCCCATCCAATTTCCCCTCCAAATTGGAGCGCCCATCCAATTTGGAGCGGAAACTCTAATTTTGAAGTGCTAATGCACGTTAAAAAATAATTCTTGCTCCTTAAGATTGTCAGGGAAACAAATGAATAAAGTTTTACCTTGACATCAAGGCCCGTTGGGTTGACAAAAAAACCTTTTTTTCACAATCTGCTATTCAAATTTTGGCGGTTTGCTTTTGGAGTTTAAAGCTTACGTCAAATTCATTTGCTAAATGGAAAGCAAGTTACGTTCTTCGATAACAAACTGCAAATAGCGCAAAAAAATAACTATTGATCTAGTTATTTCAAATAGGTAAGGTTTATGAAAAAGCGTCAATCCTTATCCTTGCGATTAGAAAAGGTATCTTGACCGGGTACCATAAATTTTCCCGTAAAAACTTTGCTGTTACAATTCGCGCGTGAAATTTTACTTCGTTCATAATATAGTCAAATCCAAAAACGTTTTCTGAGAATTAAGTCAGATGCAATGCCCATGCTGGGGACGACAAAGCTGCTGGGTTCGATTCCGGCCGGCAGCTAATTTGTTTCAAAATGAAGAAAAGTTGTTTTTGTGCTTGTCATTATGGGCATGTCTTTTGATTTAAGATTTCTTACTACAATTTAGGTTTATTTTGATGCAGTTCTATAATTTTTACTATTACCACTTCGGTTTTTGTAGAATTTTCCTTCTAGTTTTTTCCCTTTAAAGCTTCTTTCGTTTGCATCCGGCTGCGCAGGATCTTCCTTGGGGTAGGGAGGTGTCATCCATTTCGCCTTGGCCGTTCTTTCATGGAGGAGATGGAAGACATTGCGAACCCTTTGATCGGGACTGAATTAGGAGTAGAGTGAAGTGTTGGGTTAAGTCCCCTTTGTTAAGTGTTGGGTGCCTTATCCGTTCAGTCACGGTCGCTCTATTCACAAGTATTTTCGGCTTCAATGTTTTCGGATTATTTACCCTTGCGATAGGCAAGGGTTTTGCAATGGGGTGTTTGTTATTAATTAAGCGTCATTGGCTGAATGGTAAGTGTGTGAGACTTTTTATCTCTAGGTCGCAGGTTCGAATCTCAGAAGTAGCCGAATTTTTATTAATTCGTGGCTTAATTCTAAATTTTATTATTGTACTTTATAAAGCTGCTTTTTGTCTTGTTCTCGCAAGTGTTTGCGAAGCGAAGGTTTGCCTCTATGTTGAAATTTTCTTTTTATGTTGGTTGTAATTCTGTCAATTCGATTTATTTATTTTTTTCGTTTTTTCCCTTTTTTTGTTTTGATAAGTGTCTACCTATATTATATCGGCTTATTGGCCTCATATTGGATTATTTCGTTCAACGGGTGACAAATTTTTTTTGTTAGTATGTGTTTCGAGGACTTAATAACTTTTTAATTGTCTTAAATGTTTTTTTTTTCGGCTTTTTCTTTTTCCTTTTTCGGCGTAATAGGATTCGACCTATTTTATCGGCTTAGTGGTTTCATTTTTTCTCGCTCGGCGGACCAAAAAGTTTGTTGTTTCTTGAATGTGAGTGGGACTTAGTTTTTTATTAGTCCTAAATTTAAAAAAAAATGATTTTTTTTTGGCTTTTTGTAATTTCCTTTTCCGGGTAATTGTATTGTGTATTTTTGCTTGTATTTTATCAGTTTCGTGGTATCATTTAGCGTCTTTTGAAGAGCTGTGTGTGCGTGTGATTGAGGGCAAGGGGGAATCAGTAACTTTTTATTAGTAATAAATTTGATTGTTTTTTTTTGGCTTGATAGGTTTTTGATTATTTTATAATGGCTTCTGGCATCATATTGCATTGTTCAAGGAGCTGGGTGTGTTATGAGCGTAAGGGAGTTAATGAATTTCTATTAGTCTTCAATTTTTTTGATTTTTGTTCGGCTGTTCTGTTTTGTTCTTTTTTTTATTGTCTCTATAGGTTTCGGCCAATATAATATCGGCTGAGTGGTCTCATATTTTTTCTTTTGACGCGCGAATAATTTTGGTGCGTGTGGGTGTTTGCGAATGAGACGGATTTGATAAATTATTATAAGTCTTGTTAAATTTTTTGGTGGGTTTCTTCTAAGGTATTTTCGGCTCTGTTACCTAATTTTACATTCTAGTCTTGACACGTTTTTGTTTCAAAAAGCCTTAATCAGTTTAAATAGATCTACTTTGCCATTTTCGACTATCGTTTGTATTTCTCGGACCATCGTTTGTTTGCTGATTTTTGGTCGGCTTACTTTCCAATGGAGGCCCAGGGATGCCCAGGATTCTATATCGTGTTAGGCCTATCTTAGACGATATATAATAGATCATATATGATATATCTTAGACGATTCGGGGTCGTTTGGGCTTGGGAGGACGTAGCAACTTCCATTCTTAAAATTTGTAGCTGCGTGGTAATTTTTGTCTCAGTGCTAATATAAAGCTAGGCGTTATGTTTCTCGACATCGTTTTTTGTAAATTGAACCTCATTCGAGACAAACAATGTGGTTTTTGTGACATTTTTTGAAATAGTGGGTTCCGTCTCATTTCTATTGACTTGCTTACAATGCTATGTGTGTGATTTATAGCAAGTGTTGTGAAGCTTGGGTTAACCTCTGTGACTACAATTCTTAAAGCTACAGAGAAAAATCATTTTTGTTAAATTCGCTTTTGTATTTTCGCTTAATATATTTAGATAAAGAATCACGAATGATTGAAGTATGCTCTTTGTTGTTTTTCCGACTATTTGAAATTACGGGTGTGTTTTGGTTTTATCATGTTCTTCACGCAAAATCTTGTACCACAAATAATCATTGGAACGGGTTGAGTGACAATCATATTAAAGTCCTTTTCAAAGTTTTTCTCAGTGTCGAGAAAAACATGTTTGAATTTTTTGGTCTAACTTTGAGCTAATATAGTGACCGTGCGGGCTAACAGCTTATTAATGCTTAATTTAAGCGTAAAAATTTAGTTTTAATCAAGTAAAATTAGTTTTTGGAGTTTGTTAACTCTTATTTTGGGAATCAAAAATTCAAAAAATTGCTGCAGAAAAAGTTGATTAAATTTTAAAAATGACTGTCAAAAATGCCCAAGTTCTTTTTTTTCATTCAAATTTTTTTATCAAACCACGCAGAAAAAACGACAGTTTTTTGTATTTTTAAGACTATGGTCGAAACATTCCGCTACTTGTACAGTAACCGGCTATCCTTGTTTTAATATGGAAGTTTGTCAATTCTATGATTTTATTTGATCACAGTGTCAAGTTTCATTAGCATATAATTTAGTTTCACAAATATGGTGGATACTCTGGCATAAGCACAGCTTCTTTAGAGTGGACATGTTTGATGACATAGAAGTTAAAATTCTATTAGTTGATAAGTTCATAGAACAAATGAATTATGACCACGCCAAATTGCATTGCATTATCGACTCCTCGGATTGTTCAGAATTGGGTTCAATTTCGTTTCTTCCAAAGAAAAGCAATTGTTCCTCGTCTCGTGAGACCGGCAAGTTAATAACTACTAAACGTGCTTTGACGCGAGATCAAAATTTGCCTGCTAAAAAACCAAACATTCAGCCCAAAGTTAGCAAATCGAGTTTGCCCAAACTGGAATCAAACCAAGATGGTCCCTTGCCCCCTATTAAAGGCCCAAGTGCGCCTAAAATTGACGTTACCTCTCTTATAACGGTAGTCCAAAATTTGGGATCTGATCAGAAATTGTACAAATGCTCATTTTGTGGCTCCGAATGCGCGTTAATTGGCTCTATGAAAAGGCACATTGAGACGAAACATTTGCCAAGCACTGTTTCGTTCGATTGTAGGCAGTGTGATTACAAAACCAAGTTGAAGTTCATGTTGAAGAAGCATTATACCAACAAACATCAGATGCCAGAAATGGCTGCACTAGGAATGATGGCTTACTACTGAGGATCCAAAATACATGACAATAGCTTTGAGTTTTCAGTTTCTAAATTTTATTGGTTGCACAAAGAAGAAATGATAGCGTATATTGAGTTTAGGGTGAAAAAACTTGATAATAGTTCTTAGAAATTATTTAGTGGTAGTATAATTTGTGTTGTTTGAAACATTTGTTAAGTACTAAGAGTTATGTTAGTCAGCCAAATTCAGTTTCAGTTAAATTAGTGCGTTTTTGTTGTGAATTAATGCTATTCCTTAAAATATTCGAAATGTTTTTTTAAAGTTATTACTCCGCTTAAATTTTCAGACTACTGAATGCGAGCTAATTAGCAAAATGATTGACAGCAAGCCTAAAAGTATTTTGGAAGCGTTGTTAGTTTTTTCAACTGGGTGAAACTCTGTTTCTAACTAAATGTTAGATATTTGTACTACATTGAATAAATAGGTGGTCAAATCAACATTTGAACATTTCTCTAAACAGAGGAAGAAGCATTCAAATCGCTAACTGTATACGCTGTCTATGATTTTTGTACTTGATTTCCATCAAAATTTTCGATGCGTTTATTTCAAATCCTTCATAGTAAAATTTAACAATTGAATCAATACAAGATGTTGATGGAGGAGGTGTATAAATCAGATGCGACATCTGAGTTGCTCCTGAAAAATCACGAACAGTTCGCAGTCCAGATCGGAATATCAGCTCAAACTTTCCATGTATCAATTAAACTATGGCGAGCAGTCTACGATCTGAACCCGGAACTAGAATCAGACGCTACACAATGGTTTGCTGCAATAGTTCTAGTCTCAGTGCTGAATTGCAGAGTCAATTCTGATGATCGCTTAAAAGTGAATGTCACGACACTGTTAAAGAAAAGTAGTATGTCAGTTTTAAGTCTGCTGACGAAATTGAAGCATTTAAGGGAAATTGTATATCTCAGCCAAAGATCAATTGACGGAATTTTGGACTTTCAGCGAAGGTTTTGCGTGACTGCGGCAATTTATGACCGTTTCTCGCACGTCTATGCGGATGTTTTCATTGTCGACAATCGACCGATTAATGACGACTTGGATCCGAATTACGTTTACGACATTCCGGAATCGAAACAAGCTTGCTGGTTGCTTTTCCTTCTCGCTAAGGATGAGATTCCGATAGCACATACCGAGATGTTTCTTTCGTTTCAAGTGTTACTCTGCGCTGTCGATTTTGTAATGCGAGCGACTCCAAAGTTTTTATTACAGCCTGTCTTCGAGACGGCTCTTGAAAAAGAAGCGCAAACTATTGAAGCATTAGCCGAAATCACTCCAGTGCTCAAAATGTTATGTAATAAGTATGGATGCGATACTTCCGAAATGGTACACGTGAAAAAGAAACTCGACGCGACCTTTTTTGTATCGTTTTCTCAGAAGCCCGTTAACAGCGAGAAGAAAATCGACAGTGTTTTTCCGGGCGGTGATTCAGTTTTGCCCAATTCGAGTGAGTTGCACGGCAGGTATTGGGAAGTTTTGGATCGTTATTTCGAACTGGACGAAACTCTATTTCTGGCTGAAGATCCCATTCTCCTTCTCCAGGGATCGGTCGGCTCGTCTAATTACTCTGAAAACTCTTTAAATAGAGAGCAACATCAACTTGGTTTAGATCACTCTGAGCTATCAAGCGAGTCTGTAAAAAATGCAAGTGTAATGACTCATTCTATGAAAAACGAATCTCAAGTTAAAGTCGATGAAATTTTTTCAAAGTTTGAGGAAGCATTGACGACTTTGTTGCATGAAATTATCGCCCAATCTGAAAATTATTTTACCGAATGTACAATAGATGAAATAAAAAGCAACTCAAAACGGACTTTAACTCAGGTAGTTCTAAAACTAGCGGATAGTAGTAACAATGGTGATGAAAGTTCTGAAACCACTAATGATGGTAGCAATATTTCACCTGAAAGGCTGGAATGTTTGTTAGCAATATCGTCAATAGCAACACTGGCAAATTATTTTAGCCTGCCTCCAGAAAATCAGGAGACTCAAATTGACGATAATAATGCGATGAGTGTCTTGAAAATGTTTAACATTCCATTCGTAAAGTTTATCTGTGAAATTGACAAAATCGAGGCAGCTGGTTGCCTTTTTTCGGTTCAAGTTTCAAGACTTAAGTTTCTTGAAGAGAGAATTTTAGAAACGCATTTGTACAGCGACGATTCTTTTGTCCAAACTTTTATGCAGTGGAAAAATCTCGAAAGTCAAAGTTCTGCGAAATCGATCAATCAACTTCAATTAAGCTCAGATGAAATTTCCACAGTGTCTAATAAAATATGCAGACTAGCCTATAAGAGAGTTCAGCAGTTATGTAAACTATTGTCCGTACCTTCAGAACTTGAGGTTAAAATTTGGGAATGTCTCGAACATTGCATTTTTGAGCGAACGTTTCTCTTCCAAAATCGACATCTGGATCAAATTCTGATGTGTTCTATTTATGCCATCTGTAAAGTCTCAGACCAGGAGAGAAAGTTCAAAAGTATAACTCAAGCGTACCGCAAGATGCCGAGCACGGCAGCTGAAGTTTTCAAAAAAGCAAAAATTTTCGACGAGGATAATTCTTTCGACTCGATAATAGCTTTCTACAATAAAGTTTTCATGCAGACGTTAAAAACATTCATACTTCAGTTCTCAAAACCGACATCTAATGAAGACACTTCGGAAAAACAAACGAGTGTAGCTAATGTTTTGAAGCGAGTTAATCCAAATGTTTTGGCACGAAACGCTTTAAATAAACCAGCTGTTCATCAACCCCCAGCAATCGCGACTTGCACGTCCAAAGCAATACAAATAGCCAATACAGGTCCTAAGTACTGGCCATCAGCAACTGGTGGCTTACCCTCTGATACGACTTTACCCTTAAGGCATATGGCATCTGCTATTGTAGCAAATCGTTCGTATCAGCACACGACTAAAAAGTGGGCACGAATGTTTCCGGGTCGCAAAACGGAACCGAGTACTCATCTTCAAGGCTCGAAAGTTGTCGCGAGTGGCGAACAGCCGCCACCGCCGAAGGTTCAGTTTTTGAGTTCGGATACGAGAGCGAAGAAAGTGCCGAACAGAGGCGAAGAGTCGTCGGAGTCCAGCGAGGACGAGGAGGAGGCAAGAGCGAACCAGGATATTTATAACCGAATTATAAATTCAGGACTCAGATTTGGGAAATAAACAATTATAAACAAACAATTGATTTTTTTATTGTTTCGACCACTAAAGCGAGAAGAAATTTTGCATTTGGGTGTGATTTTTCACACTCAAATCCAGGTACCTTAAATTAATGTCATGAGGTCGAATGATATATCTTAATAAAACCCTTTTAGTCTTAGTTTGGGGCAGCATTGAAACACTGATAAACGTTTTCCTGCGGAGAATAAAGGGCTTGAAATTTTGCTTTTCAAAGTGGCTGCAAATTTAGTCGCTGAGAGATCACTTATTGAGACAATGAGTAATACCCCAAGTTTTTTTTTCAATAAAACGAATTCTCGGAAATGACCGTGGTCGGAGCATTCTATGGTACGCATAGCAACCGGATGTCTTGTTGCTCTTATTATTTTCTACCAAATTTATATTTTCGTTGTAATTGTACCACACCAAAGACGATGAAAAATATAAATGGGATGATTAATGACGTTTTGTTCTTAGCAGTTTCAGTCATGCTGTCAACTATCTCTGGGATATAAAGGTTAATTTTCTCAGGAAACGCTTCTAGTAGAATACAAAGGGTAATGCTCAGTTCGATTTCTAAGTTGACATCTCAATGAGACCTGGCATTGAAAGCAGATTTCATAGTTTCAATTTTTCCAATCTATGCTATATTTAATTGGGATTTGTTGCTTCGAATACCATAAAGATGTTTGCCCTTATGATTTTGCAAGGGTATCGTAATCGGTATGCAGACTTTTCCCCCTTAAATAATTTTGCAATTAGAGTTAGTACCTGAGATGATTCGTGCTTGATTACCCTTGCGATCAGCAAGGTTGTTGCAGCCGGGTACTAGACTTTTTTTTTCCAGTGAAGTACTTTGTTCACAAGATTTTGCACGCAAAAATGTTACACGGGTTCCAACTTGCTCCATAAAAATTTCAAAACTAACAATCTAGTGCATATGGCGTAGAGGTAACACGCCTGCTTGAGACGACAGTTTCTGGTTCGAATCCCGCTGGGACCTGTTTTTAGAAGTTTTCTACTCTTTCGGACTATCGTCTGTCTGTTTGTTTTTGTCGGCTTAGTTCTCCTATCACGGAATGTCCTTAGTTCTCCTATCTCTAACTTTCTGAATGTCATTGATAAGCTAATTGGTGGAGGTAATTGAGTTAGGTGATTTTTTGCAGAGTTTCCGTTTTGTTTTTGGAAAGTTTTGTCAAACAAAATTATAATTTTTAGTTTTTTGCTTCGTCAATTAATCGGTTCGTAATTATTAGGCATGCAATTATTATGCTCGCAATTAGCAAGCGTTATCATTTCGGAACAAAGACTCTTAAACGATTTTGTAGAACAAAATCACTAAATCGCTTTTAAATCTGTGCTTAGTCAACCAGCAGAAATATTTTGATCATGTCTGCATTTCTGCAGTTCTATTCATTATTTACCTCCTGTTCAATTTTTTCTCTTTTTCTATGTTTTTTTTCCTCACTCGGGTTAAACTTTTTCCGGTTTATACATAATCAGATTAGTTGCATCATCTTACGTCGTTAGATGGGCGAAAAAAGTTTTTTATGCATGAGTCCTTCCTTAGAGGGGATTTTTTTAAAAATATATATTTCCTAAAATGTGCTTTCGTTGCTTAAAAGTTTCTTTGCAAAACAATGTTTTTTGGCTCAAAGGGCTAGGGTGTCTGCCCACCCTAGATTTTTGGCTAGGGTGTCTGCCCACAAATTTTTGGCTATGTTACTGCTTCTTAAGTTTTTTTTCGATGGAAATTTAACTTCCATTTGTCTAATTTAGCATGTTTTCAAAAACTGAACTTTATTCAAGACAAAGAGCTGAAGGTTTTGGTTCATCTAGCTTTTATCGACTTTTTCAAGTTTTTTTTAGTTAACTTCTTTCGTCTCAATTTCTGATTGCTAGTTTGTCATACTGTGTTGTATCGCAAGTGGTGTAAAACTCTGCTTCGCCTCTGTTTAATAAATTCAAACGCTCTGACACTTTTTGTAAATTTAGCTCATGGTTAACGCCTATCGTTGGCAAAATGAAGGTGCTGAGTTGAATTCCGAACGACCGGGAGCCTACTTTTTTAAAACCAGAAAAAAAATTAGTGTAAATTTTTGTCAGACTATCCTTTGTCTGCTGGTTTTAATCGACTTTATTCTCAAAGCAAGGATTTTTCGGGTTAAACTTTTTCCGATTTATACATAATCAGATTAGTTGCATCATCTTACGTCGTTAGATGGGCGAAAAAAGTTTTTTATGCATGAGTCCTTCCTTAGAGGGGATTTTTTAAAAAATATATATTTCCTAAAATGTGCTTTCGTTGCTTAAAAGTTTCTTTGCAAAACAATGTTTTTTGGCTCAAAGGGCTAGGGTGTCTGCCCACCCTAGATTTTTGGCTAGGGTGTCTGCCCACAAATTTTTGGCTATGTTACTGCTTCTTAAGTTTTTTTTTCGATGGAAATTTAACTTCCATTTGTCTAATTTAGCATGTTTTCAAAAACTGAACTTTATTCAAGACAAAGAGCTGAAGGTTTTGGTTCATCTAGCTTTTATCGACTTTTTCAAGTTTTTTTTAGTTAACTTCTTTCGTCTCAATTTCTGATTGCTAGTTTGTCATACTGTGTTGTATCGCAAGTGGTGTAAAACTCTGCTTCGCCTCTGTTTAATAAATTCAAACGCTCTGACACTTTTTGTAAATTTAGCTCATGGTTAACGCCTATCGTTGGCAAAATGAAGGTGCTGAGTTGAATTCCGAACGACCGGGAGCCTACTTTTTTAAAACCAGAAAAAAAATTAGTGTAAATTTTTGTCAGACTATCCTTTGTCTGCTGGTTTTAATCGACTTTATTCTCAAAGCAAGGATTTTTCGGGTTAAACTTTTTCCGATTTATACATAATCAGATTAGTTGCATCATCTTACGTCGTTAGATGGGCGAAAAAAGTTTTTTATGCATGAGTCCTTCCTTAGAGGGGATTTTAAAAAAAATATATATTTCCTAAAATGTGCTTTCGTTGCTTAAAAGTTTCTTTGCAAAACAATGTTTTTTGGCTCAAAGGGCTAGGGTGTCTGCCCACCCTAGATTTTTGGCTAGGGTGTCTGCCCACAAATTTTTGGCTATGTTACTGCTTCTTAAGTTTTTTTTCGATGGAAATTTAACTTCCATTTGTCTAATTTAGCATGTTTTCAAAAACTGAACTTTATTCAAGACAAAGAGCTGAAGGTTTTGGTTCATCTAGCTTTTATCGACTTTTTCAAGTTTTTTTTAGTTAACTTCTTTCGTCTCAATTTCTGATTGCTAGTTTGTCATACTGTGTTGTATCGCAAGTGGTGTAAAACTCTGCTTCGCCTCTGTTTAATAAATTCAAACGCTCTGACACTTTTTGTAAATTTAGCTCATGGTTAACGCCTATCGTTGGCAAATTGAGGGTGCTGAGTTGAATTCCGAACGACCGGGAGCCTACTTTTTTAAAACCAGAAAAAAAATTAGTGTAAATTTTTATGTCAGACTATCCTTTGTCTGCTGGTTTTAATCGACTTTATTCTCAAAGCAAGGATTTTTCGGGTTAAACTTTTTCCGATTTATACATAATCAGATTAGTTGCATCATCTTACGTCGTTAGATGGGCGAAAAAAGTTTTTTATGCATGAGTCCTTCCTTAGAGGGGATTTTTTAAAAAATATATATTTCCTAAAATGTGCTTTCGTTGCTTAAAAGTTTCTTTGCAAAACAATGTTTTTTGGCTCAAAATGCTAGGGTGTCTGCCCACCCTAGATTTTTGGCTAGGGTGTCTGCCCACAAATTTTTGGCTATGTTACTGCTTCTTAAGTTTTTTTTCGATGGAAATTTAACTTCCATTTGTCTAATTTAGCATGTTTTCAAAAACTGAACTTTATTCAAGACAAAGAGCTGAAGGTTTTGGTTCATCTAGCTTTTATCGACTTTTTCAAGTTTTTTTTAGTTAACTTCTTTCGTCTCAATTTCTGATTGCTAGTTTGTCATACTGTGTTATATCGCAAGTGGTGTAAAACTCTGCTTCGCCTCTGTTTAATAAATTCAAACGCTCTGACACTTTTTGTAAATTTAGCTCATGGTTAACGCCTATCGTTGGCAAAATGAAGGTGCTGAGTTGAATTCCGAACGACCGGGAGCCTACTTTTTTAAAACCAGAAAAAAAATTAGTGTAAATTTTTATGTCAGACTATCCTTTGTCTGCTGGTTTTAATCGACTTTATTCTCAAAGCAAGGATTTTTCGGGTTAAACTTTTTCCGATTTATACATAATCAGATTAGTTGCATCATCTTACGTCGTTAGATGGGCGAAAAAAGTTTTTTATGCATGAGTCCTTCCTTAGAGGGGATTTTTTAAAAAATATATATTTCCTAAAATGTGCTTTCGTTGCTTAAAAGTTTCTTTGCAAAACAATGTTTTTTGGCTCAAAGGGCTAGGGTGTCTGCCCACCCTAGATTTTTGGCTAGGGTGTCTGCCCACAAATTTTTGGCTATGTTACTGCTTCTTAAGTTTTTTTTCGATGGAAATTTAACTTCCATTTGTCTAATTTAGCATGTTTTCAAAAACTGAACTTTATTCAAGACAAAGAGCTGAAGGTTTTGGTTCATCTAGCTTTTATCGACTTTTTCAAGTTTTTTTTAGTTAAATTCTTTCGTCTCAATTTCTGATTGCTAGTTTGTCATACTGTGTTGTATCGCAAGTGGTGTAAAACTCTGCTTCGCCTCTGTTTAATAAATTCAAACGCTCTGACACTTTTTGTAAATTTAGCTCATGGTTAACGCCTATCGTTGGCAAAATGAAGGTGCTGAGTTGAATTCCGAACGACCGGGAGCCTACTTTTTTAAAACCAGAAAAAAAATTAGTGTAAATTTTTATGTCAGACTATCCTTTGTCTGCTGGTTTTAATCGACTTTATTCTCAAAGCAAGGATTTTTCGGGTTAAACTTTTTCCGATTTATACATAATCAGATTAGTTGCATCATCTTACGTCGTTAGATGGGCGAAAAAAGTTTTTTATGCATGAGTCCTTCCTTAGAGGGGTTTTTTTAAAATATATATATTTCCTAAAATGTGCTTTCGTTGCTTAAAAGTTTCTTTGCAAAACAATGTTTTTTGGCTCAAAGGGCTAGGGTGTCTGCCCACCCTAGATTTTTGGCTAGGGTGTCTGCCCACAAATTTTTGGCTATGTTACTGCTTCTTAAGTTTTTTTTCGATGGAAATTTAACTTCCATTTGTCTAATTTAGCATGTTTTCAAAAACTGAACTTTATTCAAGACAAAGAGCTGAAGGTTTTGGTTCAT